GCAATTAAAGATGTGGTCAACACTCTTGAAGTGACTACGAAACGCTTGCATGCAGCGGAGGAAGTCCCTCAGAGCACGGCTGCTGATTTGCATGCTATGCGACAAGAAATTGACATTCACGAATGGCGTGTGAATGCTAGGGAAAATGAACTTCTGCATTACAGAACACAAGTTGCTAATGCAAATCAGCCATGTGCTGATGGTTCTCATATGAACAAGATGATGTCTGGCACAGGGACTGTGAGGTGCGAAAGTGAGGGTCGTTGCCTAGCATGTGATCGCTACCCAACTGAGAGCACAACAATAGTTCCCCCGTCTTTGGGAAACTTATGTCACAGGAATGTTCCATCGCCCAGCACATCAATCCGATCAATGAACTCAAAAAGAAAATTGTCATTTACAAACATTTAATATCGCATTTGGGACCGGGAGAATGTACAATATATGCGGGGTTCGTTTATTCGTAAAGCGATATATTTCACACACATAAGTATGTCTCTCTCTCTCTCTCTCTCTCTCTCTCTCTCTCTTTCTCAATTTTTTTCAATAAAAAAAAAAACACACAAACCTAAGCACCTAACCACCTAAGCACCCAACCACCGACATATCCACCCACCCACCAACCTGCCAGCCCACCACCCACCCACCCACCCACCCACCACCCAACCAATCAACCAATCCACAAACGCACTCACCCAAACATAATACCCAAATGTACGACCCTCCCAACCACCCAACCAATCACTACAGCCACACAACCATCCACTCCAGCCGCCCAACCAACTGCAAGCCCCGAACCGACCACTCAACCACCCCATGTTTTGGAGCCCGCCCATCCAACCGCCCAACCAACCAACCGACCCTCCTAACCCCCCATCCACCCAACCACCCACCTAACCACACAACGAACCACCCACCCACCCAACCACCCAACAACCGAACCACCCAACCACCCACCCAACCACCCAATCACCCAACCAACCAACCAACCAACCCATCAAACCACCAAACCGCCCACGAAACCACACAACCAACCAAGCAACCAGCCACACAACCACCCATCCATCCGCTCAACCACCCAACCAACCACCTAACCCAACCGCCCAACCACCCAACTAACCAACGAACGTACTACTGTTCTAAATTTTTATTATTATTTTTTTTTTGCAGCTGCGAGACTCGACTCATTGTGTCCGTCGCTTATGGTACGCATTGTGTTGTCGTCATCTTTCGCAGTGTCGTCGGCCAGCCATTGAGACAATTCATAATTACCAGGTTCACTTATTCGACCTTGCGACACAACATGGCCGACATAGTTGTTGTTGTAAAAGAGGCTGTGGCTGGAAAGGAAATCATCGTGAGAGAAACAGTGTGTGAGCGCGATACTGAAAAGGAATGAGACTTTGAATACTGGGAAAGGGTTGTCGCCACGAAAACAAGTGTGTACTACGCGTTCATCGATGACACCCTCGCTTTGAGGGTCGTGGCGGGGGTGGGGTACGACGACCATGATTGCCTTGATGAGGTTGTAATGCACGCAAAAAAGCTTTCGGATGTCGTTCCCAACGCCTGCGAACCCCCCGACTTCGACATGATTGGTCATTTGCTAAGGTGCATCTTGTCAGTCGTTGCGGTCGAGCATGTGGAAAGGTTAGCACGCAACGCATGGTATTTCTTCAAACTCGACCGGCCCCTGCAACGCCGTAGTTTTCTCCACGGAGATGTGCGCAGTGTGTTGCCGAAGGACGGTTGCGGACAACACTGCCAAAGTGCCAACGAACCATCATCCCGCTCATCTCATGCGTAGTCTGAAACATGTGGGTTGACGAACAAAATCGTAAAGGTTTTCAACATTCCACAGTGTTCAAGATCGCGATTACCTGCTCATCCCATATATATGTATACAGGGCGTTCCCCCCTCCCCGTACGGTACATGCAGAATATCATGTTTGCGTTATTCGTTACTCGATCGTTGGATTCATAACTTGCGGTGTTGGTTTCTGTGCATTGCAGCACTTTTCAAACGTCGTACGTAAGAAGCGATGATGCATTACGCGCCAATGATTGTCCGATGTTACCAGACCACAAAACTGACAAGCGGCGACCCCGTATACTATTACGAATCAATGACTCCCGTGACAGATCCTGTCAGCGATGCAGCGGGATACCGCAATGGATACAAATAGGTGGATCGTCATTTCGTTGTCAGCGTGGAGGAGGAACGAGTCATTAGACTCACTACACAAACTTATATTCGCGACCACGCCATCGAACACGTTCGTGTCCTAATGTCTAAGCCAACCACGTACTTCAGTAACTTTGTTATCAAACCGGTCGACAGTGATTTCATGTATGATATCGTATTCCCCCTTGTGCATCGCATACTATACACACACTACGGGACGGTTGCTCGGGACGGCGTCTGGCGCCTGGTCGTGTCACCGCCCTATTTTGTCTCCAATGACGACGATTTCTCAGCCATGTTTTATCCTTGCAGTGCGACCCAACAATGAGTACCACTCGTTATTTTTTTTCAATGTTTCTTCGTTGTTGGAGAGAGACAAAATGAGGGTTTCAATGATTGTACACTTTGTTTATACATATGCAAGTCTATCTCTCATGTGTTTGTTATATGTTTTCAGTATTTTTTTTATTTTTGCCTGCTTTATGTTCGTTTGCGTTATGTGGAGGTACAGTACGTACGGTACTAAGGTAATCGGTGTCCGTAATGTTCTGTTTTGTAGATTTCAAAAGATTCACACATAAGCGACAAAACAATATTCACCCTTTCCCATACATAGACCGTCGACGACGCAGGGCTGGCGTGCGGACCGACGCAGTAGTATTTGGAAATAGGACAGATACTGATCCTTTCCGCGACGAGGAGCTGACAGTCGCCGAGATTAGGAGCCGGTGGCCGGGACCCGCAGCGCTTTTGGAGGAGGCTGTGACTTTTGTTGGCCTGGAGGCACATCTGCAACAGTGCATGAATCTGCTTATTGGTCGTGCAAATCTCGAACCCAAGCAGAATCGTTACAATGGATATGTCGTTTTTTCTCGGCTGTGCGGGTTCGTCGTTTTCCGACATAGATTGCCAGATGAGTTCCAAACTGCAATGCGGGAACGATGGCCAGATACAATTAATCAAGGTTTTGAACTACGACAATGTAATCCTCCTGAAAACGCGCGCCCACGTCGACGTGCACGGCAGTAAATGCTTCACGACACGAGAGATAGATAGATAGATAGATAGATAGATAGATAGATAGATAGATAGATCGATAGATAGATAGAGAGAGAGAGAGAGAGAGTATGCTTGCCTTCAGTGTCAGGACGTTTGTCAGTCCGACTGTGTGTTTACCTTGAGTGTGTGTGCGCGATCGTAAACTTAAGCGTGGGGGTTACTTTTTGTGTGCCCCGTAACGGCCCGTGCTTGTTCGACAGGCTATCAGACCCGGTACTTACCTATTGTTGTGACTTGCAGGGATTGCATTATGTAAAATTTGGTTTCCCTGCTGTACATCATCTTCTTCTTCTTATAATCCTCGATCTCTCATTTGAAATTCATCTATTTCTTTTTGCAATTGTATGTCATTTTACCATTGGCAATGGAGTCTGAGCGATTTTAATCCTCGCTCTCGCCACTCAAGTTCATTCATTTTGTGTTGCAACTGGATGTCATTGCAATATTGGATCAACGTGAAAATCTCAATTGGTTCGGCTATATAATGTGCGATCCAACTATTGCCTGAGAGCGTAAGCATGTGAAGTATGAATGTATGCGTAACTCGACATTGGTCCAATAATATCTATACGCACAGGAGAAAAAAAAAAAAAAAAAAAAAAAAAAAACACAAAACATGAGATACCATCAGATGTGTGAAAAAA